TATTTCACGATCATCTCGGAGATTCTCTCCGACCCAATCCGTTCGATCTGGTCGAGCTGAAAGTCAAGGTCGTGCCCGTGAGGGCCCGACCTGTCCAGCTCGTCGTCGAAGAACTCGAATCGGATAAACCCGTCGCCGTAAGGAGTGGGTTCTTCACTGATTTTGGCGTTGGCCTTTCTCATCTCTATTCCGACCGATTCCGGGGCGGAGAAGCTGACGAGAAGGCCTTTTCCGGCGAGACGCTTGCCGAGGCGGAGGAGAGGGTTGACGTGGCCTTGGCCGGGGAAGGAGACCATAAGAACGTGGAGAGGAGGATGAGAGACGGCGTTGCCGTTACAGAAGTCTTCGGGATGAGACCCCATTTTTTTGTGGACTGGGAAAACAGAGGAGGTAGTTTTTTAACTTTTGATCGTCTTTGCCGAATCTGTGGGGCGATGATTGGGTTATTTAAGGAGTAAAAATGGCTCTGTTGTCATATCAGCTTGGAATCTTTGAGAAGTACACATGTTACTGATGTACTAAAAACTGTTTTGGTTTTAATTGTCAGTCTTCTCCAGAAATGTTCTACCTTTCATTGTTGGACTGTTCCACTGATATTTTCTAGTTAGTTCTACCTCTGTCCCTAATAACTTTTCCAGTTAATAGAACTATTCAACTCATAGAGGTGGAAGTAGATTCGTGCAAATTTACTTTTCTTAATAACAATTGAAATCCCTCTTATACCTATGTTTGGGGACAGAGGTAGAAGTAGATTCATGCAAAAAGTAAGATTCATGACTCTAAACTTAATGTAAATTGTGCACCTTACAAAACGTTTTGTTATAATTAAGGTAGATTATATGGTACCCATAAAGTATCGTACATTTGTCTATATGGATCAATTAGAATCATGCAGTTGAATTATTTAAATCTAAATTAAAATGAATTTAATGATTTGGGCCAATCAAATGCATGGTAGGTACGGTATCCCATTTTTTAAATGAGTATCGGAGTTGTCACCTATAATTAATCGTGCATTTAAAGTCATAAATCTTGCATTATCAGCGATGTCATCGGAATATTAAAAATAGAATAGTATATATAAATAAGAGATATCAAACTATTCTTTTAACACATAATTAGCATATAATGAACCAGGTTGTGCTATTTTTTCTCTTCTACTCCTTATTTTTCTAATAAAATTTAAAAATCTCATATAGAGCACTGTAGATAAACATTGTCTGTTAATTAACATCCCTGGCACTTGTATATCTATTTGTGAAACGCTTATAACAACCTTCAATTTAATTTATTAAGTTTTCATTTCATGTTCAATTTTATTACCTTATGTTAATTTCGTTATTACTCCATCGTCGAAGAAATTCAAAACAAACTCCAGGTTTTCTCGAAGACGACTTTTTAAATTTATAATGTCTCACCTTCTAAGTTTCATATTCTAGTAACATTGTCTTTGTTTTCTTAATCTTCCAATCATAACTCAGGAATAAATGGTGAGATTGAGTGAATATATTTCATATATTAAGTATTAACCCTGTTTTTTGGAAAGATTTATGGCGTCACCTTAAAACATAAATTTTTTAAGATGACGTCATAAATCAAACAATTATGTATAATTTGGTTCACTTATACAAGTATTTTTTATATATAACATAATTCCTAATATATAATCAAAACAATATAATGACGAAACTTTATCTTATAATTTTAATTGTGTTAAAAACGTTATCTTATAGTGGCTACAAAAGTATACGCATAGCAATTTTAGTTACATTTTGACACGAAATTTTCTATTTGTAGTAATATAGAAAGTCTCTCTTCTTATATTATGCGAAAAGCAATTAAGTTGTTTAACAGAATTAGGGAAAAACACTTAAAAGGATTATTCTCCCTTATTTCTTAAATACTCCGTATAAAAGAGGGTTTTTAGGTTTTCAATTTTTTATAACAAAAATTTGGAATATTGTTTTTTTTTGTTATTGCAATTTGCAATCATTCCTTGATCAAGTCCACTCCATCATAATTACATGTAGTGGCCGACCTAAGTAATTTCCTGAAATTAGGCACCATACTCTTTGAACGCCGCCATAATAATTGTAAGTTTCAGCGCAGGGGTCCCAACGCTGGTTGTTGATAATGAATGTCGCGAATTTGTCGAACTTGGCCGTGTGTATGGTAGATGGATAGTTTTGAAAATCAATTGGGCTTGGGGTACACAAAACTCATACACACACCTACACACTATAAATAGGCCCAAAAATTACCATTTTTTTACCCTCCCTCCCTCCCTCACATGAAATCAACCCCAGCCTCTCTTCTCTCTCCCCTTCATCGTCTCTTTCTTCTTCCAGCCTTCGGCGGAGAACCGGCGGCGGCGGAGAACCGGCGACGGCGGAAAACCACCGGCGACGGCGGAGAACCGGCGGCGGCGGCCATGGAGGACCTCCCTGAGCTTGGTATGAGTTTGTGCTGATGCTTGATCCTTTATGTATTTGATTTCTTTGAAGTGAAATATACATTTGTTCTTCACAGACAATTCCCTATATTTCTGTGAATGTATAATTTCGTCTGTGTGTTTGTGAAGTTCATATAATCTTGTCTGTGTTCAAAATATTTTAAATTTACTTATGTCTGTGTATAAATAAAATTCTATTTGATATGTCTGTGTATAAATATACTTTGTCTGTGGGTATATATACTTATGTTTATGCGTAAAGAAGTGTCTGGGCAGATTTTAATGTGTTGCCTCATATTTTCTGAAATGTATTTATGTTTGAAAATGTCTATTTGAAATGATTCTTTTCATTTTATCATGTATCATTTCTGAAAATGACACGCCTTTAATATATGTGTTGAATATATCCTTGTTATAAATTATATATACACTTTTAATTTGGTGATTTTATTGGCTTTGAACTTAAATACTATGTATATCTTTGTTCTTCACAGACAATTCTCTGTATTTGTGTAGTGTATAATATCGTCTGTGTGTTTGTGAAGTGTATATGATCTTGTCTGTGTTCAAAATGTTATAAAATAATAACTTATGTCTGTGTAAGTAAACTTCTATTTGAAATGTCTGTGTGTAAACATACTTTTGTCTGTGTGTGTATATACTTATGTCTGTCCATAATAAGTAAACTTCACATATTCGTTGAAATACGTGAATGTCGATCAGATGGAGAAATTCAACAAAATGAACATGAGAGTGACGTTGGTTCTAATACGTGAATCAAAGGCTGGGAATGAAATTGGAAGTACCTAACAAGCTACCGCTCGCTGACCATGACATTGGACGGGGGGTCTTAATGACATGATGAACATGATGAATTGTAGTGGTTTATATTTAAATTTTAGTTTGATCTAAATGTGCACGCATTTATTTTCACAGACATTTATGTATTAGAACACAAACAAACTCTTTGGTCTTCACAAACACAAGACGTGTTTGTGGACATATATAAATTTGCAGTTGTAATATTCTACTTTGATTCAAAAAATTTGATTAACGTATTCATTTTTTTTTCATCACCTCCAAATTACACATGGGCTCCAGTGGTAATCAAAGTAATAAAAATTAAAACTACTAAATTACATAAAGTAGTTAGTAACAATATTTGAAGTGGATGTAAGAACAGATACATAGCACAAACAACAACGACACAAATCACAGACAAAGTCATATTACAGCACAGACACGATTTTTCTTCTTCACAGGCAAAGTCATCCTCTGTATATATTAACACCAAAAACATTAAGTGCTTGCCACAAAAACAAAAAAGGCATATAAATTCAAGTAATATTTGGGAGTACATTCTAGGACATTGTACAACATTGATGTTTTACATCCAAACTCATCCTACATTAAACATGGAGACCCAAACTATTCTACGTTGATCGCTTCGTCAAAGTCGAGAGCCTCATTGCAATTCACATCTTTTTGCCACCATATTCTCATATGCACAGTCGGGCTTCAATGGCAACTTCTGCAATAGTGACTCCGCAATGGCCATAACTATCACGTCGCAAACACCAGATCTGGACAAAAAAAAATTCATATAGACATTACATTTACATGCACAGACAAACACCAGACAAGCATTCTTATATACAGACAGACACACAATCAGTCACACAGACACATGTAGAAAAACTTATGTTTAACTTCATAAATCATACTTTAAGAAACATTTTGACTTGTTCAGTGAAAGGATATTGAGCATCTTTAGTTCCAATGCTTAGACATATACTTCAGATGTGAATGTAAAGTTAAGAAAGTGTGCATAAGTTTGGTATAAAAGAAAAAAGGAAAATGTGACAAAAGTAAAATAATGACATGAACCGGGTATTAGAATTAGTGAATCTAACAAAATCACGAGTGGACATAGTGAAAAACGTTGACTATTCATTGTGTTTTAATTATGAAAATAAGTAACGAACATTATATTGCCAATAAGTTAACTCAATGTGTCTTAATTATATTTTAATAAGTGAATTCATTTTTCAAAACTTTCCTTCAACAAAACCTGCTCTACTCTTATATCGTTGTGTACAAGTATAGACATTCATATTATGCACACAGACATATGTGGAGGGATACAGACACATATAATTCTTCACAGACAAACTCTGCCAGAGCCAATTGCTCGTTGTGTACAAGTACAGACATCGCAATGAGGCACACAGACATATGTAGAGAGATACAGACAATCATAAAATTCTTCACACACAAATGGAGCCAGAGCCAATTGCATATAAGTTCACACAGACAATTATTTAGAGACATCTATCTTTACACAGACAATACACATGTCCTTCAACATGCATAAAATCAACCTTACACAGACAATACATATTCTTCAAAATCCAAGCAATAGATGGGTTCCAAAACTTCATAAACTAAATTATTTTGCTTCACCCTCCAAATTAATATCATCAAATTGCCTAAAAGTGTAAAAAAATTCAAAAACTAAGGAAGATGATACATACCTTTCAGTTGGCGGGGACAAGTCCGCGGCTCTGGCTCCGGTTGGCGGGTGGAGGGTTGGCGCCGGTGAGTTGGGTTCGTCGAAGGGAGATGGTTGGCGACGGCCGCTGAGAGGGGTGGAGGGCGACGGGGAAGAAGCTTCCAGCGACGGGGAGGAGGGCGACGGGGAAGAGGGCGACGGGGAGGAGGGCGAAGGGGAAGAGGGCGGCGCTTTTCTTCGACGAGTCGCATCAGGGAGGGAAAGGGGGGTGTGCAAAAATTTGGGGGCAGGGCTTTTTTCAACGGGGAGGGAATGGGGATGAGGAAAGGGGGTAAATATTTTTTTGGAGTATTTATAGTGTGTATGTGTGTGTATAAAAAAAGTGTAACAAGAGCATTTTTGTTTGAAAATTGGTTGGATTGACTATTTCATTTAAGAAAATATTATTTTGAAATATATTTTATTAATAAAATAAAAAAAATTATATGTAAAAAATAGATAAAAGGGTCATCTATCATAATTTCAGTCAATACATTCAGAAAAGTAATTTCAGCCATTTTTTTCCGCTTATTACTATGAGAATAATGGATGACTTACCAATATGGTAGCCCTGAATGTCATATATATAGTAAAGAAGTATCCAAATTACAATAGGAAACTAATGAAATATGGAAAGCTAATGAATGCTAATTAATAATACACTATTACACCCCCTCAATCTGTGCAAGTGAAATAACGCGCAGATTGTTTCTAAGAAAAATAAACCGATGCGGAAACAAACACTTGGTGAAGATATCTGCAAGCTGATACTGCGTAGATACATGACGAATAATTAAATCTCCATGTGAGACACGCTCTCGAACAAAATGATAATCAATGCTGATGTGTTTACTGCGTGCATGTTGAATAGGATTAATGGATAAATATGAAGCGGAGACATTATCACACAGCAATCGGACAGGCGTGCGAATAGGAACGCCTAACTCGAACAAAATGGACCTGATGTGTAATGTATCCTGAACTGTGTAAGCAATGGCCCTGTATTCGGCTTCAGTAGATGACCGGGGAACCGTGGGCTGTTTCTTTGACTTCCAATAGATCAAATTAGGACCCAAGAAAAAAGCAAAACCAGACGTGGACCGGCTAATATCAGGACACCCGGCCCAATCAGCATCGGAATAAGCTTGAATAGTAGGAGACGACCGATCTGGCTGAAGCAATAGGCCGTGATCTGGAGTACCTTGTAAGTACCTGAAAATGCGCTTAACAGCCGAAATATGTGAAGTACGAGGGGCATGCATAAATTGGGAAACCTGGTAAACAACAAAAGTAATATCAGGTCGCGTCATGGTCAAATACTGTAAAGCACCGACCATACTTCTGTACTCCATAGGATCTGCAAGAAGTTCAACATCAGTGAGAGATAACTTAGTTCTAGAAGGAAGAGGGGTGAAAACAGGTTTAAGAGTATGAAGATGAAACCTAGTCAACAGATCAGACACATATTTTTGCTGAGACAAAAATAATCCTTTAGGAACACGAGTAGCTTGGACACCCAGGAAAAAAATGTAAATCCCCTAAATCCTTCATAGCAAAGTAACGTCCAAGAGACGTAATAAAAGAAGAGATAAAGGAAGGGGAATTACTAGTGATAATAATATCATCTACATAAAGAAGTAGATAAAGAATGGACGAACCGTGGCGATAAATAAACAAAGAATTATCAGACCTGCTACAGATAAAGCCATGGGTGAGAAGAAAATTGCTAAATCTATAGAACCATGCCCGAGGGGCCTGTTTGAGACCACAAATGGCCTTTCTCAAACGACACACATGATTAGAAAACCGAGGATGAATAAAACCAGGCGGCTGACGCATATATACTTCCTCTGTCAAATTAACCATGAAGAAACGCATTCTTAACATCTAACTGACGTATAGACCAACCAAACGAAAAAGATAGAGATAAAACAATACGAATAGTAGTAGGTTTGACCACAGGACTAAAAGTTTCAGAGAAATCAATTACAGCCTGTTGAGTAAATCCTTGAGCTACTAGGCGTGCTTAATGTCGCTCAATAGACCCATCAGAATTAAATTTTGTTTTATAAATCCATTTAGACCCAACCACATTTTTATAATGATTAAACGGAACCAAATCCCATGTATGATGGTCAATTAAAGCATTAAACTTCTCAGCCATAGCCGCCCTCTATTTAGCATCTTTATTAGCAACGGAAAAACAAGACGGGTCACATGCCATAATATCTGTTTTAAGAGTAAAAATACTTTTTGGTTTGAAAAATCCTGATTTAGCTCGTGTTTGCAGCGGGTGACCAGGCTGTTTCGGGGGAGAAGGTGGCGGTTGAGGGCTACTGGGTATACTGGGAGTGGGCTGGTGGTTCGAGGGACTGTCAGGCTGTAGTGGGGTTGGTGGTGGAGTCTCGGGTGGACTAGCTGTGTGCTGGGAGGAAGATGGCTGCGGGGTAGCAGGACTGCCAGGCTGCATGGGAGATGGTGGTCGAGGTAAGGTGGCAGTGTGGGTGTGGGCACTGTGCAAGTTTTCGGGACTGAGAGAGGATGAGATGGCCGAGATATTGTGATGGGAAAGCATCCGGGATTGTGACACCAATGGTATGTAGGCATGCGGTTGTGCAGGGGACACCGAAGCAGTGTTTTTGGACTTAGAAGAAATCAACTCAGAATATGAAAAATGATTTTCATGAAATCTAACATTTCTATTGATGTAAATTTTGCCGGTAAGCGGATCATAACAACGGTATCCTTTATACTCAGGAGCATATCCCAGAAAAACACACAATACAGATCTAGGTCAAAGTTTATTTGCTAAAGTGGCATTAAAGTTTGGAAAACAGGTACACCAAAAAATGCGCATGAAAGAAAAGTTTGGGGAGCGATGAAATAATTTTTCAAAGGGAGATAAGCCATTTAAATTTGGAGTAGGGAGACGATTGATAATATAAGTAGCAGTAAATATCGCATCTACCCAGAATTTAGCTGGCATTTTTGCCTCAAAAAGCATAGTGCGAGTTAATTCGAGAAGATGTCGGTATTTTCTTTTAGCCACCCCATTCTGTTCAGGAATCAGGAGTGTCAAGACAAGATTTTCTAAATAAAATGCCATGCTGAAGAAAAAGATTACGTATACCATGATTATCAAACTCACCCCCTCCATCACTTTGAAAAATTTTACTTTTAGAGTTGAAAAGATTTTTCAACCATTGTTTTAAAATTAATAAAATGTTTCAGAACTTCACTTTTATTGCACATAGGATATAGCCAAGTAAACCGAGAAAAATCATCAATAAATAAATCATAATATTTAAAACCACTGTCAGAGAGAACAGGAGACTACCATACATCAGAATGAAGCAACAATAAAGGGACAGTAGATTTATGCCAAACTTCTTGAAAAGGTAACCATTGAGATTTTCCTAACCGACAAGAAATACAATCATGAGAAAAATTAGAATTACTAAGAATAGAACCAGACTTCTTAAGTTTATCTAAAATACGACTGCCACAGTGTCCCAACCGCCGATGCCAGACAGGTCCCGGAGCAACATGAGTAGCGAAAGCAACGGATGAGGGATGAGGCAAGGAAATAGGATAAACGCCACCTTTGTTAGAAGCTTTAAGAAGCACTTCCCCCGAATTGTGGTCCTTAACACAAACAATATTCTTATAAAAAATCACAAAACAGTTATTATCGGCACATAATCTTTGAATGGATAATAAATTATATTTAAGATGAGGAACATGAAAAACAGATTTTAAATGAAGGGGACGCGGCATAGGAGATAAAGCTAATTCACCAACAGTCATAACAGGTAAATTAGAACCATTAGCAACCGTCACAGTTAGTGGTTCAGAATAAACAGATTTATTGTCTAAAATACCTTCGTTAGAGATCATATGAGCGGAAGCGCCAGAGTCAGGATATCAAACAATAGAAGAAGATTCTCCGGTAGGGACGGCCAAGGCAGGTGCATAAGGTTGGACAAAACGGGATGGACAATTGACAGCAGAATGACCTGGTGAGTGACAGATTTGACAGACGATGGAGGAGGAACTGAACCAAAATTATTCTCAAAGGGTGAAGCTCCTGCAGAATCATAGTTAGTACAAAAAATATATGGTGCAGAAGTATAAGACAATGACTTAACAGAATTACAATTGACTGTACCCGGTATACCCATCATCTGTGGTTGTGGAGGTGCTCAACCGTAGGCCCCGTTCGGCGGCTGCTGTTGTTGTCCAGCACCATGAAACTGCTGCTGGTAGTATTGACCACCACGGCCTCGTCCGCGGCCACCCCGTTCGCGTGGTCCTCTGCCGCGACCACGTCCGCCGCGCTGCTGCGGTTGTTGGGGCTGCTGAACCTGCCGCGGCTGCTCTCCTGGACCGGTAGGCTGCTGGGCGTGTGCGGGAAAAACCGGGGCTCCAACACTGGTCTCTAAACGTTGTTGATAGTGAAGACGGGCTTCTTGATGGACAAGCTTGGTGCACAATTTATCAAAAGTAAGGTCTTCCGGGAATAGAGTTAGAGGTCCCACTAATGACTCATATCCCGGACCCCAACCCCAAAAGTGCATATTGCAAGAGATCATGATCAGATACGGGATAATTAATGGATGCCAGGGACTCCGCAATTTTTCGGATTTCAAGCAAATATTGATCCATGGACTGATTTTCTTTCTTTTTCATGTGAGACAACATTTGTTTTAATTCCATGGATCGAGCCAGACTGGCAGCCATAAAATGAGCCTCTAAATGTTCCCATATGGCTGTAGAATTCTTTAATTGATGCACCTCAACAAGAATATCACAACAGAGGGTAGCAAACAACCAAGAACGGACAGTGAGACAGTCTGATCTAATCTCAACCAATAATAATACTCAGGATTCATGGTTTGGATTTGATATAAATCATAAGTGTATATGGGTAGGGCACGTAGAGATCCATCAAGTATACCCAAAAGACCATTAGAGACCAGGAAGGATTCAAACTGAGTACGCCAGGGTTTAATTCCATCAAATAATCTTCAACAGCCAGTAATTTAATGGTCACAATAGTAGTGATAGAAGAAGCACCAAAACCCGTACCTTGACCAAGACTTGCAAACGAGGTAGGGATTGGAGGTATGTCCCGACGTCTAACCGGGCCGGGGCTTGACGGCGGTAGCAATCCCGGACTGCCTGAGAAGGTGAGGCCGGCGAAACGACGGCCGGCAGTGCTGCTGGATTCCCTGACGACGAATGAAGACTGATGCGGCATGGACTGCAAGCTCAGAACCGTTGGCGTCCACGTAAAGATAGGCGGGACCCA